GGTCCGGCCGGCGAGCATCGTCGATAAGAAGCAGTATGTTGTGCGTACCCATCTCCCTATATTCCTCAATTCTGCTCAACGCCGTCTCCAGAACATAGCAAAACGCCGCGCCCAAGAGTTCTCGGCTGCTGCCTCGTCAGAATCGACATCTTCGGATCATCCTCTCCTCGACCCAATGGAAGCCACGCGCCGCGGTTTCTTTGCGGACCAATTTGAGAACAGGAGTAACTACGACGCCCATTTCTCCGGGACAGGACCCGAATTGTGGAGACAGACGAACGGGAACGTGCAAGCGTTTGTGAGTGGGGCGGGTATGTCGTTTGGGACTGCCGACTACGCAAGAAATATGACACTCGATAGGCACAGGAGGAACGATTGCCGGTGTCGGTCGGTTCCTCAAATCGATGGATGCTGATGTGGTCGTGTGCCTGGCTGATCCGGAGGGCAGTGGCCTGTACAACAAGGTGCGCGCTCCGGCGTTCGAATAAGAACGTGGATATACAGACGGAGCTTGTGCAGGTCAAGTACGGTGTTCTTTTCGACCAGCGAGAGAAAGAAGGCACCAGACGAAGGCACCAAGTCGACACTGTCGTAGAGGGGATGTACGTGTCCTCCGACGAAACTACGCAACCTCACGGCTGACTGCACCGGCGCAGAGGACTGAACCGCCTGACGCAAAACCTCAATCTCGCGCTCCCGGTTATCGACGACGCTTTCAGGTACGGCACGGTGTGCCTGCGTGAACGAGCTGCACTGAGTTTACTGCCCAGAGTGACTGACGCTGAAGCTGTGGCCATGGCGCGCTATGTGATGAGGCACGACGGAATCTTCATCGGGTCCAGCAGTGCATGCAATCTTGTGGCCTCTGTTCGTTTGGCACAGAAGATGGGATGGAGTAACGGAGAGCGGATCACCACTGTTCTGTGGGTTCTCTCCACTTGATGGGTGACATTGGGTGCTTAACGTGCGGGACTGTAGATGCGATTCGGGATCGAGGCATTATTCCAAGGTATGTCTGGCAACTCCGTGAGGCTGACGACAGACTGATCATTGGCTATAGTTCTGGTCTGTTGCGAGGTTCATGCTACCGAGGAGTTCGACTGACAGCAAGCTGTTAGGAACGACGAGTATCTCAAAAATGCGGATATCCCTATCGACCTGCAAATCATCGAAGACTTGCTATCCGCTTGATTAAACGCGTCTTACTGCTCACCAACTTGAAAACGGCAGGCAAAGGCTGAGGCAGGGGCGAAGTCGATGATGCTAGGGTCGCTCTCAGATCAAATCAGAAGCTCGTGCGACGAATGCTTGGGTTCGAGCATTTGTAAACCATCGGACATGATGTTAGTTTCGGGAGGGAAAATATGTTTGTAATTGATGATGGGATACTATGGTGTATATCTAGATATAAGCATACATCGCCGCGGGGGAGTCCAGATAGACATGTCATGGTCGTAGAAAAGTCGGGAATTCATTTCATGAGAAGGAGCGTGTGGTTGTGGATAGATCTAGAGCAAAAGAGCGTGGAGACAACGAGGATCACGGCGTGGGGGAAATATCAGTTCTGGTCAGAGCGTTTGTTCTTCTTGCCAAGTGCATTGGCAATCGCATCCGGGGCTCTCTTCCGCTTCGAAACGGATGCGGAGACACTTGAAGCCTTCGCATCGAATTGGCCAACTAGAGCAGGCGGCAGGTCATCTCGCCCAAAGATCCGTGCTGCTGGGTCGAAGTCCTGGAACCAGGGCTGTTTCAGTGTGTGACGGATCTTAAGTCGGCGCGGGTAACTGATGCGCAGCAGTTGCCGGACAAAAGAATAAGCTTCGAGGTATGAGCGTCTGTGATAGTGGAGGAGATTGGGATCGACACACCAGCGACGCTGACACCGAGGTGCTCCAGCAACAGCCAGTCGATGGTATCGCTATTGGGGTCAAATGGGCCGTCATGCGGGACGAAAGGGTGCGAGCCCGTGAGCATGAAGTACACCATGTATCCCAGCGCCCAGCTGTCCCAGAGCTGCATCTGAGAGAATGTCGCGCTGTGCTCCTGGTGGAAGACTTCCGGTGCGTTGAAGGAGGTCGAGGAGATTTTCTGGAGCATGATTCATTGAGGGGATTATGGAAGGCGGAGGAGAGTGAGGACACACAGTTGGATACGTGGAAAAGGCTTTGATGCGTGCAAGCCCAAAGTCGATGATCTTAATGACCGGCTGCTGGTGGTCACCGAGAGTGAGAAGGATGTTCTTGTCCAGAAATGAGCGCGCGTCAAGTGAGAAACGATTCTCGGTCCCTCACATTATACTTGATGTCACCATGCGACACTCCCAGGCCATGTATGTAGACAAGTCCGGAGCACAGCTGGTAGGTCAGATTTCGTGAATGATCTTCGGCTGTGCATAGTCAGAAAGCAGACTAGAAAGTGTTGAAATAGAATCATACACAAACATCCGCGGTATCCAACGTACTCCAGCAATGTGATGCCGTGAATGAGCTCAAGAAGCAAGTCTGCAAAGGATTATTTACATTTCAGGGTGGTGAGTGATTCAGACAGACCATAGCCGATTTCCGTAGGGCTCGAAAGAGGCTGAATAAGCTTGACAATGTTGGGATGTGCCCCAATCGTCTTTAGCGCCATCATCTATCGCAGAGAAAGCGGTCAGACGGTCTGATGCCTCGTCCACAACCACCGGCAACGCACCTCGTGGTAAGCACATTCTCTGTCCATCCTCCTGGTCTGTACGCCCAACAAGTGTGTTATAATCCGAGAATAGAAAATTAAGCAATGTCGTTTACTTGCCTTATGCAGGTACTTAAATGCGTAAAGCTTTCCGTCTCGTCGGTCTCGAACCTTGCATACCGCACCAAACGCGCCCTGCCCAAGTTGACCGACGATTTCGTAGTGGTGCTTCAAAACCAAATGCTGTCTGAGTTGCCGAAAGGCCACACGGAAGGTGTACCGGTATCCAGAAGGCACGAACTCGATGACTGCGCCGTCGACCAGAGGGACCGACTGCCACGGCTGAAGGTGCGCGCCGTCGAGCTTGATTGCAGAAGGTCAGTCAACTACGAACCGGAGCCCGACGGTTGGAGACATACGATTGCGACGGATACCGGAGCGCAATTCGTCAACGTGAAAGCGCACAGCGAGTCCTGTCGGCCATTCCACCTGATGATCGGATGCGAGTCCACTGCCACGGGGTATGAATATCAGCTGTGCGTGCCCAAAGTCCAGACACCGATTCGCCTCACCTGGGTCGGGATCCGGGCCAGGAAGAAAGACAGGGAAATAGTCTTCTCCCTTCAGATATCGAGGAACGCCTTGAGTGAAGAGATTTTCCTCAGGCCCGAATGCGATAACAAATGCTTTATATCCGTTCAGAGAGATCGGAGGTCGGAGGTTACGAGTGAGTTCGAGAGATCCCCAGACAATTTCGGCGTCACATTCAAGGCCGAGAGGGTCAACAGTGAGTTTGGAGGGGGCTAAGGCAGCGTTGTACACCATGATGTTGCTGTGCTTTCATGGTGGCTTCAGAGGCATCTTATATTCATTTTCAGATGCTTGGATTTTGGATCCATAATTGTGCCGCAAAGCGCGGCAGCACTTTGACGGGCACCGGCAAAGGCCCACGAGAGATGATCAAAGCAACTTGAAAGGTCCAAGCAAGGAACGGGATGGAGCTTACGTACGCCGCGAATTGCCGGAACAGCATGGCTAGCCCGGTGCTTGTTGTCTCCGGCTCACCCATGATTCTCAACCGACTGGTGGCGCGTCATGCGATGACTCTGTCCATGCTCGAGCAGGCACGCACCTATCGCTTGGGACTGCTCCTGACATGAGTATTTGACCACGATCATGCGCTTTGGCCCAAGAACAATAGCATCTATTAAGCGAACGGGGGCTCAAGAACAAAGCCAGATAGCCCATCGCTTCATTCTCTCCATCTCTCTCTCCCATCTCTGCTGCCATCCCACTCGACTCCTTCACGATGTCCCAGCCCCCTTCGCCCAACGCGTCTGCCAGTTCAGCGCCATCACCCACCCATCCACGCGAACATCTCGTCACTGTCGACAATGTCACCCTCTTGGTCTCTAGCTCTTCCCGCATGTCTTTCACCACAGGGCGGGGCGCAAACAGGAAATATATTGAGATAAACGTATCCGTGAGTCACGAGTCCTCGCGCTGGGCCGGCTCAGAACTCACTCACGGTCTGCACAGGTCGCAAAGTCCCAGGACGATCCGGACGCGGACGAAGTGACCGTGGAGGCGAGCAGCACCAAGGTCGCTGCAGCGGGACGGATCGTAGTCCATACGAAGAAAGCACTGGATGCTCACAGTGAGTTGCCCGCCTCGCGCAGCTCTGTTGTGTCCTCATCCGTTCTGTGCCAAGTTTCCCTCAACGCGAGCGCTCCCGACTTCGCTGCGGCTTCTGTGTTAGCTCGTTCAGCCAACGGTACCCCCAACGCGCGCTCAGAGGCGCGACGCGCACACCCCTCCGATGAGGACTCGGAGCCAACTGTCAAGAAAGAAGGTGCGTACGCTCCGCCTGGTCGATACCGAGCACTGAATCGCGAGCACAGAGGATGACGAGGCGCGTCCAAACGCACGCGCCGCCAAGCGCCGGCGCGGGGATATCACTGCCGAAACTGACGCACGTGGGGTCAAGGAAGAGGGTGGCGTAGACGACGAGCATGGTCCCAGCACCAGGCGTGCAAAAAGAGTGAAACGCGAGCATACTCTCCGTGCTGTTGCTTCCCAGTCGACCGTCGCTTCGCAGTCAGCTCTGAACGACGGGAGACCCCGCGGGCGCTATCCAGTGGATTTCAACCTGGAGATTCCGAGGCAATATATCACTTGGATCGATGGTGATCCCATTTTGTGTGGACGAGCACCGTACAGGCGTGGTCAACCGAACTACTTCCTTGCGGGACAGTAATTAGTCGAACTGTATTAGTGTATTAGCGGTCCTGCAGACCATTCGTCCTTTCCATAATGGAGGTGGTAAACCAATACAAGACTGCCAACAACATTTATCAAATAGATGTAAACGAGTGTGTTTTGATAGAGAATGGCAAGGAGATATAACGGAACAGTAGCACGCCGAACAAACAGAAGCTCCTCAATTCCTCTTTCTCCCCTTCTGCTTCGATGGAGACCCTGGAGTCGGTGGACTGGCCGGATTACGCTTCCGCAGAACCATTGTAAACTTGGGTACAGCCTTTCGCGGGGAGGCGTCCATGTCGACGTCCTGATCCATTGAGGCTGCCCGCGGATCTAGAGCACGGCCCACATCCATATCGTCCAACTGCCCACCCGTATCTTCGCTGCCCTGATTCTCGCCATCCATATGAGTATCGTGCTCAGATTCAGACCACAACTCTTGCGAATCAGCCCACATCTCCCGGAGTGAGGGCGGAACATCCAGCGCTCCGAAAACGCGAACTTCAGGACGGAAGCCGGAGAACCACGGCTCGGCCAGCGAGTTGCAGATCTGGAGCCGTTCGCTTGGATCGATGCACAGCAGCCTGCGAACGAACGCAACAGCTACTCAAGTCGTGGTCAGATCCCCACAAGCCAGAGATCACGCGCAACGGCCCACCTGCTGGTCCGACACCGGGCTTGTCCCGCAACGCGCGCCAGTTGACCTCGTCGATCCCCGTCGTGAACGCCCCGTGCTTGAAGTACGGGTAGGTTCCCGCCAGAATGAAGAAGACCAGGTGGCCCAAAGCCCAGCTGTCCCACAGCTGGATCTGTGCACAGGAAACATTGCCATCCAGGCCGCGAAACTGGGGGCCTGCCTCTGGAGCTGTGTAGCATGTCCTGGATGGCGACTACAGCTATTGTTAGCGACGAAACCAGTGGCAGCAGTCCGCCACTGACCAGCAGCGAGTTCAGGTTTCCCTTGACTCGGGCCAGTCCGAAGTCAATGATCTTGATCAGGGGCTGGCCTACTTCATTGAGTGTCACTAGTACATTCTGGGACCTTCTTAGCAGGATAAAACTACATTGATCAGAGCGTCCTACATCGCCCTTGATATCTCCGTGCGATATCCCTTCCTTGTGCATGTGTCGGAGACCAACACATAGCTGGAAGGCCAGGTGCCTGGCTTGTGCTTCCGCTGTGTGCGTCCAATGCGTCAGACGACGGGGAGCCACAGGAACGGAATCAGAACTCACGAACGAAGCCGCATTCAGAGACGAATCGGTGGATCGGGATCCCGTGGATGTATTCCAGGATCATATCTGCCAGAATGAGCATTCAATAGAAACGCAGCTCGCAACACGCACCACAACTCTTCATATCGGTCCCATAGTCGCATTGAAACATCCTGCACACGTTGGGATGCGGTGGGGCCATGAGCGCCATGACCTCTTGGGACGCAGCGGCCAGTATACTCGCGATGGTCTGCATCGCAATCAGCCGCGGAAACCATCATGGAGCTCGAGAGCACACACCCTTCTGGGGGTCTTGAGCGCATAGCAGTACCCATCCCGCACGTCTTTCACGTAGTACACCGCACTGAAGGCGCCGTGGCCGATTTGCTTGATGACTTCGTAGTGGCTCCGGATGAGTTGGGTCTTGGGAGGGGGGAGGGTCACACAGAACGTGAACGAGGCTATGGGAAAAGCGGGACTTGCGATGACGATCCGCGCGCCATGGGGCAGCGACATGATCTGCCACGTCACGGCGGGGTTGTCGTTGATCTGTATATTCGCGTTCAGGAGAACGAAGGGGGAGACTGAGCAATCGCGCACGCACGTAAACCACACCCTCTTCCTCCCCATCCTCGCCGAGAAAGCTGGTCGCGTTGAATCCGCGCAGGGAGTCAACGCGCCCATTCCACTCCAAGAGCAGTGCACCGCCACTGCGGTGCCCATGCATCGCCGGGAGCGGCACCGGCACGAAGTCGCCACCCAAGCACGTCATCATGGCCTCCGAGAGCGGCTGGTCGCCGGACGTGCAGCCCAGCAGGTACGGCAGGTATCCCCGCAGATTGACGCGTCTTTTCGGCGCGGAGTCGGTCGTGTCGGCGATCTCGAGATAGCCCCAGGTGTGGCCTGAACGCGGGCGGTGCCCCGTATCAGTCGACGCGTCCGAGGGCCCGGCGAGGGCGTTTGCAGCGCGCATGAGGGGAAGAGGATAACGGGTTCCACGGAATCACAATGGGTTCATACCCGAAACAGGTGGCTTTTTGAACGAAAAAACGCGCTTTGGCCTGGGTGGACAATGCGCTCGCTTGCCATGACGGATGTGGGAAGGAAGACAATACAATCGACAAAGCAAGTGAGTGAGGCCGGATCACAGCCGGACTGATCATCAGCTGTGGGATCAGACGCGGAAGCCGGCGCATTCACTGTGTGGCTGCCGTGAGACTGGATGTGACCTCGATAAACAAAAGAGATTTACTAGTAGACTTTCATGCACTGCAATTTCTACTAGCTGTAACCAAAGCAGCGGTAACACGAAGCGTTATCCGTAAGGTAATCGATAATGCATGATCGGTGATCAATGATTATCACGTGCAAAGCTTCCGCTGCTCGATATGATACGAGAGCGAGATCAATAACTTTTGCAACAGTTTGGAAGTAATTGAAATACTCTCCAATATGAGACTTGAAATCTACTAGAGAGCGCCGTCTCCGCCGGCAGAGTGCCTTGCTCTATTGACGTGACCCCTCTCTGAAATTCACCCACACTTTCCGCTGCCATTCCACACACACACTTTCTGACATCAACTACGAACGTACGCTAGTTCACGTATATTTAGCCCGCACGCGCTTTTTTAGTGGGACTCGCTCCCAAGTCCACCTGAAGGGGCCAGCGGCGTTTTCTCGGGCTCGCGGGAAGGCGCTTGGCTTGCTCGATCACGCGAATCTTGACGACATCGGCAATGAAGTGGTCGCGTTGGTCTTTGCTGAATGACCAGTGGCACAGTTCAAACGTCAGAGCCACCGTGGCCCCGGGTAGGAGCTTTGTGTATTCCTCGGGCTCCATGAGCATGCCGTTGAAGGTGTATGCAGGCAGCCGGTTGATGACAAATTCCCCTTCCTCGTTGATTCGATCCAGCTCCACGCGTGCCGCATCATGCTTGGTGGGCCACAACAGCATATCGTAGGCTTGGAGTCAGTCAGATCTTTCGTCAGGACGCGTAACGCTAGCGAAGCGATACTCACTGCCTTCGTCGTCGGGCCCTTCTTTACGCTGGATCACAACCAAATCAGCATGAATATACTAACTGCACATGTGTTGAGCACCAACAGCGAACACAGCGTGGCGACATTTGAATCCTGGCTTCGTGCCGTCTTGCAACATGCCCGTCTCGGCAGCCTTGCTGAACCCTGCTGTGCGCGCACTCTCGAGCATCTTGTTCAGGTTTACCATGCCTCTGGTCCAATCGTTCGCGTATTCCGCATCCAAGGGAGGTGTGATGCGCAAGCTCATTTTGATATCGCTCAAGTGTTCCTTGTACTTCCTCGGCCCCCTCCAGTTCTGGCAAGTTGATACCCACGTATCGTTTGTCGCGAGTACGCCAATGATGCTGAGCTCAGCCATCACTCCTCCGGGTGTACCAGTGATTGCACTGCTGTCGTCAGATGAAGCCGCACCCTGACTTTGCCCCGCCGACCGTACATCATCCATGGAGGCCTTGGTCACAAGCACATTATCGTTTCCAGCTTTACACCACTCGACAAGCTCGCACACGTCGGGGCGGGCCAGGTAGAAACGGTCGTCGACGCTGTCAGGCCGGATGGACTCCACTTCACCTGGTGTCATGGTGGTGGCCGCAGACTGAAAATTTGATCAAAAATTTTCCGATCGTCCATGTCATCTGCGCATTTTGAATTACTGTAGCGTATCACCTCGTGGGCCAAACCAGGAAGTGGGCCATGCACTAAGTTAGTAATGATGAAGGCTAAATTTACTTGATTTGTCTATGGTCACTCCGTCTACTATGTCCTGGGAGTGTATGTAACAAATATCTAGTTGATAGCTCATGGCAGCGTCGTGCCAAGCAATGACATGATGGGGGTTCTCATACCTGTCATGTCAGATTCTTAATTTCCCATGACACAGTATCCGTCACGCGGGGCCGGAGCAGACCGGGCTCTCACAAACCGCCCAGTGTTTGTTACCGTTCGACGCGTCCGACCTTCGGCTACACCATGGGACTGGATCCAGACCATCATCACCACTGATATTCTTGTTATCACGGACGATTTGGGACCGGCACCAGGAAATGAGGCTGGGAAGATGGAGAACGAGCTAGCGCACTGCGAGACAGGTGGGATTTTCTCAGGCTGGAGCTTGGTGGGCAGGAAAGAGGTTGGTTCTGGCACTCAGTCGGTGCGTGTGTTTGAATTTTAGGCAATTTATTGCGTCCTCAAGCCCTGCTGGAGCACGAGACCATCAATTTCGAGAGAACGGCAAATCCAAATACCATGTTCTTCAGTCCACTACCTCAGCGGTCCGGGATCGACTTTTCGAGGTACCTTAGACTCTTCTACGCCCCCCTACGCCCACTCGATCTGTCATTGTGACCAGCTCGTCATGCCGCACTGGCGGACATTGTGCTCCTTTGGACCATCTCGGGGAGTCCATACAATTGTACACCATCTCATTCGACGATAGGCTGGACCCTTCTGTAGTGCAAATAGATTGTATTCACACACCCTTTGCATCTTAGACCTCCGGTTCATGCCGGTAGCTTGTATTTAAGGTCTCTCTCTCTCCAAGTATTCTATTAGTTCTCCCCCAGCCTCGGACAATCTCAGGGGTGCTTCGAGCATATCTTTCACTCAGTCACTATCTCTACATCCCTACCATGCGTCGTTCGGCCCGCCTTGCCAAATCCGGGTCGGTTACACCTACTGTTGATGGATCTGGGACCACTCACTCGGGTGGTGATGCTTCCACTACTGTCAGCACTGCTTCTGAGTCTTCCGACCCGGATGGTTCCTTGGGCAGTGATCCGGATGATCTTGCTGAGCTCGAAGACAACGAAAATAATTTGCTGGACCCGGCCGACTTTGCTGGTGTCCCTCTTGATGAGCTAGATATCGAAACTCGCTATGAACTTGCAGTTGCTGCAGTCCGGAACGGTGCTCGCCAGCGCCAGGCTGCTGCCCAATATGCTGTTGTACGTACTACGCTGCAGCGCCGCTTGTTGGGGATTGGGAACTATCGTGCTGGTCATGCCACTCAGCAAGCACTGAGTCCGGCACAAGAGAAAATACTGGTGGAGTGGATCAAGGTTTGTAAATACCTGTCTACCCATGGCATATCAGCTGGCTGACAATTAGTAGATCAAAGGGAAACAAGGTGTTCCGATGTCTCTCCCAACTGTTGCCAACGCTGGCTCAGTCATCATTGATCGTCCACTTGGGAAGACTTGGGCACAGCGTTTCAAGGTGTGTAGACATCGGTCTTTATGTCTCAATTTTATTGATCTTTAGATAGGCCCGTCACAGTGATCAACTGAAAGTTGTGTGGACACAGAAGCTGGAAAGCTGCCGTGCTCGGCAGTTGAATCCAAACACAGTCAATCCATACTTTGATATGCTTGAAGAGACTATTCACACATACAGTATCAAGTGCAGCAACATCTACAACATGGATGAGAAGGGGATTCAACTTGGAGACAGTGGCCGCACAAAAGTTCTTGCAGATAGAGATCAGAAACAAGTTCGAAAAATTTCAGACGGAGACCAAGAGTTGGTTACGGTCCTTGAGTCTGTGTGTGCAGATGGAACAGCACTAGCACCGACTGTAATATTTAAAGGTGTTCGCCGGGATCTGCGGTGGGGCGAGAACAACCCCTCAAACGCAAGGTGAGTGCTTCAGCCCTTCATTTCAAAGTCTACTTTACTCACTCTACTCTAAAATGTAGTATCTCTCTTTCCCCTCGTGGCTGGACCGATCAATACCTTGGAGCAATATGGATGGAGAAAGAGTTTGAACCTCAGACAGCTCTCAAGCTTGAAGACCCCAGTGACTACCGATTGCTTATTTTGGATGGTCACAATAGCCACTGCACATATCGCTTTCTGAGGTATGGACCTGTTACCAATTCTGTATCATGAACATTTTTAATGACTTCTCTTTCCTTCAGTTTTGCAAAAGATCACCGAATTATTGTCCTATGCCTGCCTCCCCACACAACACACGCCCTTCAGCCTTGTGATGTTGGCGTGTTCAAGCCACTTTCGACATTTTGGAAAAAAGAAGTTGAGAAGGTGTGTGTGTAAAAGTATGATTGAGCCAGTGTAGCTTACCCTGTGGCTCAGGTTACTCGTGCCTATGGCGCTATAAACAAATATAATCTCCTTGCACACTACCACAATGCTCGCACACAAGCATTCAAGCCCACAACCATCATGAACTCTTTCCGCAAGACAGGTATCTGGCCTGTTAATCGTCATGCAATTGACGCCGACGAGTTTGAGACCGCGAAACACTACACCAATCAGGCCACCCTTCCCACCATCACACCCGCAGACGGAAACATTTCTAACGATGTGCAATCCTCAGCTTCTGGCCCAACAGAATCATTTCCTAGTGTACAAAGTGGTCAACAATCACGGGCCCCTACATCCAACTTGACTGGCTTGTCCACGTCTCAGTCCCAGCAGACGATTACCGAATCTAACATCTCCTTGGAAGCTGCCGCCATTTCCGTTGCAGAGGTTGATCCATTGATCCCTCCTTCCATCTCAGCCCCCTCGACACCGTCTCATAACAAGAGACCTCATCCCACAGACGGATTGATTGCAGCCGCCTTTCGGCTCGTTGCACCTTCTCCGCGGAAGGGTCCACAGTCCAGAAAAGCACTACGTGCCGAGAACACCAATCTTCGTGACGTTCTGGGTGGTGCTGATGTCGAGATCGAGAAACTCCAGACCCAGTTGAAGCTTGCTGCCATCGAAAATGCCGAATTGCGCCAAGCCCTGTGTGCAAAGAAATCAAAGGGAAATCGAAATCTGATCGATGGGATGGCACGAAACCTTACTGCGTCAGAAAACATGGAGGAACTGGGTGCCAGAGAGCATCGTATCATCTACACAGCCCTGCACAAAGATATCGTGCCGCTCCTGGAAGAGATCTTGAACTGGATGATAGCGAGAGGACGGGTAATCGATTCGGACACAGTGGGCTCGAATGGCCCGGCCAGCGCTCTAGAACAGGAGTCAGACGGACACTGGTTGTACAATGTATTCCCGCCTGTTAGCCTCCTCGGCCGTGGCTATGTGCCGAAACGAAGACGTGGACGGCCTGCTGGTCGTGGTACTGGCCGTGGGGTGCGTGGTCGTGGCGGAGGGAGTAGAGCTGACTCAGATCGTGGAAGAGGAGATGGTCGTGGTCGTGCGCGTGGTCGTGCGCGTGGTCGTGGCCATGGTCGTGCGCGCGGTGGCAGTCGTGCACGTGCACATGGTCGTGGTCGTGGTCGTGGTCTTGCGCGTGGTCATGGTCAAGACCAGGTGGACTCAGACAGTGAGATGATAGACATCGACCTCGAGTTTGGAGATGAGGAATCCGAAACAGAGCGTAGTGGCGACTCGAGTGGACCGGACACCACATCAGGCACAGAAGAGCTTTCATCGACCTCTACGGGCAGGGATGCTGCTCAGAGCAGCGAGGATGAATCGAGCATGGACGAAGGTGGTGATCAGGTAGCGGAAGAGATCGAGATTGTTGCCATCAACGGGCATCGATGGGTTTCGGGCGACCTTGAGTTCATGGTCATCTGGGCTGACGATGATGTGACCTGGGAACCGCTCGAAACTGTGAACGACTGCGAGAAATTAGAGGATTATCTTGATGCACGCGGGAAAACTGATCCCCTTCAGCTTGGAAAGCGGCGATATGTTCTTGATAAAGCTTTCCAGGCTTCAAATCCCTAATTAACTATCTCTCCACTATTTAATGTGTAAAAGAGCAATTACAGACACTTTTCGGTGCAGGGAGTCCTTGAAAATTGCTCGAGATCGTAAATGGCCCGCATCACGGTATTTTCCCCATTAGGACTTGCATCACGGGGATATTCACTGAGCTCGACACACCTCAAAAAAAAATAATCCAACACTATAGGCTCTCAGACATGAACCTTGCCCGTGAACTAAACGGGAAATGCAATGCAATATGTGTTGTGGATAAATGTAGTAAGATCAAAACCCTAAGGTGGCCCGATTCCCCATATCATACAGTATCACTGGTCACGCACCAATTTTTTACCATGACAGAGGCTGCCACCAACGAAGCAGACCCCTCCGCTTTGACAGTTGTCGAGCTCCTGCATCTGTTACGTGACAGACTCGAGGTCCCCCGCTCCCTCGGCAAACGCAAAAACGATATCATAGCACACGTCAAGCAATCCAATCCTGCGCTATACAGCGAGCTCTGTATTGTGGCTGGTGAGAAGAACCGGCAAAAGCGAAAGCGTGTGGAGGCCATTCCAGTTGAACGAGCTGTGCGACGGAAAGTCCTTCATCGATGCGCAAACGTAGAGGCTGGTTGCAAGAACCTGGACGAATTCATGCGTCTTCCCGATGACGCACAGAAGCAAGCCATCTACCGCCGGTTCTTTGAGGCCACCTCCAACGCGGGCGTAGCAATGATGATCTGCGGTGTTTGTGCAAGAGAGGTGGATGCAGGCATCCGTGATGACGAAGACAGTACACCACGCAGACTCGACACTCTTCCAAACGTGCACCGGCTGGTACCGCGCGTAGCTCACCCAGCACACACGCTCTACCAGGGCAAGCTACTTGAGCCCAAGGGTGTCGTCGTACAGGCAGACGAGATCCGTGTCCGTGTCTGTTCCCAGTGTTCAGCCAGCCTGCTCAAAGCCGAAGACCAGCCGCCAAAGTTTTCGCTCGCAAACAATTTGTGGATTGGGCCTGTCCCGTGGCACTTGCAAGTGCTCACCTTCCCTGAACAACTCCTCATCGCTCTCTTGTACCCTTGTGTTTTCGTCTTCAAACTCCATCCGCGTGTTGGAGGCCGTGATCCAACGAAACTGCAAAGAGGCATGCGAGGGACAGTGAGCACGTATGAGCTGGATTCCGACGGGATCACATCGATGCTGGTGGGAGACTTGATGCCGCGTCCACCAGCCGTGTTGGCGTCTGTGATTTCAGTCACATACATCGGTGTGGGGCAACTCCCAAAGAATTGGCTCTGTTCCACCTTCCGTGTTCGCCGCAACGTTGTCTTCAATGTGTTGCACTGGTTGAAGGAGAATAACCCAAAGTACTATGGAAGCATTAGTATTGACTCTTCCCGCTTGGCCGCACTCCCAGACAATGATGTCCCAATAGAGGTGCTCAGTCTTGTCCGCCAAACAGAGGATACAGACGTTGTTGCACGAGAAAGCGATGGGTATCTTTCGGAGCGGCACACTGATGAGCAAGCGGATGGTTTTGGTGTGTATTTGTATGTAGCTTGCTTCGATCTTGCCCATTAATGTCTTGTCGTGCAGATCTCCCTGCGAGTGATAGCCATGCAGCAGGCAAAGACGTGTCGCAAGAGGGTGACAATGGTATGTGTCACACATGATCCACACTTGACCGAAAGGCTAATGTCCGCATTCAAAGGAGGTCCGGATGGCATTCCGCTTGATATCACAGGTACTATTGACACAGACCTGTCATCCCTCAGTACAAATGAAATGATGCAATGGGGTTTGGCGAACTTGTGGAAGCGTGGTGAAGAGGGCTCTTATGCTGTGCAACATGGGTCAAGGCCAGTCAGTGACTTTGGGCGCCCCCAACTTAAATCGGGCGAACCACCTGACCCGGATCGCGCCAACTTCTTTGAACGTGCCTACCCCTCGTTATATCCATATGGTGTGGGCGGGTTGGAAGCAGATCGACCCGTAGACGTCAAATTCGCAGCACCTCAGTTACCACCGCCATCACGCGGTTCTCCCCCCGCGGGGTACCTACTGGGTACCCTCAGACGTCTTGCTGAGGGTACCCAGTAGGTACCCCCTGGCGGGGGGTGGGGGGGGCCATTTAGTTGATTTAGTAGCGGGGGCATATGCGGGGGTCAGGAGGAGGGGGGGTGTATGTAGCATGTGACTTGTCCATAAGAGCGGGTAGCTGGGCGGGAAAAAAAAATCCAATCACATGACGCGCTGCATGGGCGGGATGGCGGGATAAAAAAATCACGTGATGCGCTGCACCAAATATTACCAAAATGCTGGCAGGGGTTGGCGGCGTCATTGGCAGGGTCACTACCACCCCCCCGCACACCATGGCGGGCAGTGGGCGCATTATCACGTGACTTTTTGGGCGCCTTTTTTGCAGCATTTGGCATGATTTTGGAAATGCTGCTTGATACATTGCATGCTGTGGCAGACAATGGGCGCAAAATCACGTGATTTTCCGCCAAAAAAATGGAAGACTCCCCAAATCATCCCAGTATAATTTCCATAGGTAAATAGGCTAGTTAAACATGAACTTGAGCTTAGAAAAACCAAAATGCACCCTGCACAATGGGATTGGTGACACACTTGATCCCATCATTTGGCAGGGCCTGCCGCAGGGGCTGCCGCGGGGGGTGCCGCGGGGGGTGCCGCGGGGGGTGCCGCAGGGGGTGCCGCGGGGGGTGATGCGGGGGCTGCCCCAGGGTTGGTCTGTTATGATCCATTTTTGTTCATTGAAGATCTTGTAGAGGTGAGCAGGGCAACAGGCCAACTGGGAATTTATAGGAAGACATTGAAATTGATGCAGGGGTCAGATGCGGGGCCCACTGCAAGGTCTACTGCAGGGGCAGGGGTGCATTATATCAAATTTCGATGTATCTATTCTGGCCATGGCCATAGAATGTCACATAATTATCCTTCAATTTGGCAGGGGTTTCTTGGTATGGTCTGCAGCTAAAGATATTTGATTCCCTTGTGCTTTAGCAGAGCCTGGGATATTGAAAACATGCAATAGCACCTGTATAATCTGTTTATGTAGGGTCAAATACAAGTTATGATTTGTTCATGTGTTGACCGGCAGGGTGGGTAGGTTGGCTGCACTGGGTCCACTGTCATCTCATTGATTTTTTGGTGCGCTCATTCTACATACATGGCTATTAGTCAATTGTTCACACTGTTAGCACAGTGTAATATTACCCTGCGGCACATTGTACCACATGTCAAGTACACATTGAATGTCTCACTTCCTGACTGGGACTCATTGAAAATCAGAAGTTCTGTGATGCTTTGCAAATGATTTTCTCAAGCTGCAACATGAACAGATGGAACATAGCAGATTTGACATGCCCTCAATTCATTCCTGGGTCATATATAAGAGGATGAACTAACTCACTAATAAGTTGTCTCACAATAGCCAGAGATTGAGCATGAATTCAGATTTCATATACAAAATTCTTTCCACTTAGAGCTTGGATACTTGCAAGACAAACTGCAGAAACATACACGATTGCTTTTGCTACTGGGACTGTATACGTTCTTGCCATAACTCACTGCCTGCAACTCTACCTGCACCCCCACTGGCACCCCTGCAGGCACCCCCCGCCAAACTGGCACCCCCCACTGCACCCCCGCATGCACCCCCGCCAGGCTGACACCCCCTGCCACACCCCCCGCTGCACCGGTGCCTTGCCCCTGCCATCTTCTCATATGTAAGATTACATAATCTGACAGCTCGGAACACGTCAAGTCACCAGCCAATCAGAACCTGTATAAACGTCGTACCTAAGTGTTTCCTGCTCTTCTGACACTGTTTCTACAGTTATGCAGCTGAAAACCATCGGAATAAGGTCTCCCTATGCTGTTCTTGTTGAATATGTAGGTATTTCATATCATTTGTCCATCCAAAATTCGAAACATGAAAACAGTTCACAGTTGCTCAAGGTTCCTACATAGATAATGGTTCAACATAGTTCACTTTGGGTATTGCAAAAAATATATTTTCTACAAATGAACAACTCAATACAGCTGAATGATATACCCCTTGGCAGTGTCTGAAACAAATTCTGAGAGCCCTGGACCCTGGAACCATTCAAAAACTTGAAATGGGTCCGAAAAATAGGGTCTTGATAAACATGAGATAGGGGCCAGTTTGAAGAGATGTAAGCCACTGGTCATGTTTAATGTGGTATTTGACAATGTTTCGGTGCCCTGCCCCTCACCAAATGGCCTCCTTTCCCACCAAAAAGTGCACATACACACTCAAGCTTATAAAATCAATTGTCGGCCAGAAACAAGAGCAGGCAAGTTGTGTCACTGGAATTGGGTAAAGGTAACCTGGAAGTCACTCGGGTTGCAGTACAGAAGCTTTGGAAAGTGATCCTGTAGTTGATCCACATTGGGTAGGCTGGCAGAGGCTTGGGCACCCCCCGCGGCACCCCCCGCAGCAGCCCCCGCGGCAGCCCCCACCATCAACCCTGCCCCAGCCCCTGCAAGGATTGGATGGACAAAAGTGCTGCCTAATCAATTGTTAGTGTTCACAGTATTATCACATCCATTAAAGTGTCTAAATGGTGTGTAGACAAGGAATATGAAATCCATCAATCAACAATCCTAACACCTGTATCAGATATCCTGAAAATGGAGAGGAAGATTTGGGAGCAGACAGACTATTGGAAGCAAACAGACAGGGACAAGGAGCAGTAGCTATTCCTGGCGATCAATTTGGCTGCACATGGAAAACTCCCTTGGGGGATTTGCCAAACAAATCAAGTTGCGCATTTTTCAAACATTAAATTCGACCTAATAGCTTGAGCAGACCATGCCCAAATGTACCAAGTTATAACTTGTATTTGACCCTACATAGACAGATTATACAGGTGCTATTGCATGTTTTCAATATCCCAGGCTCTGCTAAAGCACAAGGGAATCAAATATCTTTAGCTGCAGACCATACCAAGAAACCCCTGCCAAATTGAAGGATAATTATGTGACATTCTATGGCCATGGCCAGAATAGATACATCGAAATTTGATATAATGCACCCCTGCCCCTGCAGTAGACCTTGCAGTGGGCCCCGCATCTGACCCCTGCATCAATTTCAATGTCTTCCTATAAATTCCCAGTTGGCCTGTTGCCCTGCTCACCTCTACAAGATCTTCAATGAACAAAAATGGATCATAACAGACCAACCCTGGGGCAGCCCCCGCATCACCCCCCGCGGCACCCCCTGCGGCACCCCCGCGGCACCCCCCGCGGCACCCCCCGCGGCAGCCCCTGCGGCAGGCCCTGCCAAATGATGGGATCAAGTGTGTCACCAATCCCATTGTGCAGGGTGCATTTTGGTTTTTCTAAGCTCAAGTTCATGTTTAACTAGCCTATTTACCTATGGAAATTATACTGGGATGATTTGGGGAGTCTTCCATTTTTTTGGCGGAAAATCACGTGATTTTGCGCCCATTGTCTGCCACAGCATGCAATGTATCAAGCAGCATTTCCAAAATCATGCCAAATGCTGCAAAAAAGGCGCCCAAAAAGTCACGTGATAATGCGCCCACTGCCCGCCATGGTGTGCGGGGGGGTGGTAGTGACCCTGCCAATGACGCCGCCAACCCCTGCCAGCATTTTGGTAATATTTGGTGCAGCGCATCACGTGATTTTTTTATCCCGCCATCCCGCCCATGCAGCGCGTCATGTGATTGGATTTTTTTTTCCCGCCCAGCTACCCGCTCTTATGGACAAGTCACATGCTACATACACCCCCCCTCCTCCTGACCCCCGCATATGCCCCCGCTACTAAATCGACTAAATGGCCCCCCCACCCCCCGCCAGGGGGTACCTACTGGGTACCCTCAGCAAGACGTCTGAGGGTACCCAGTAGGTACCCCGCGGGGGGAGAACCGCGTGATGGCGGTGGTAACTGAGGTGATTCGCAGAGCACATCAAGTGGTCCCTTCAATATCATGACAGGCGCTTCCGTCTCAATGAGACTTTCCCTTTTGTGGCCTTTGGCATCTCCCAACGCCGCCAGGCGCTTATGTCCGCGCGTATCCAAATGCGACGCAGAGATTTCGAGAGGGATGTCAGGGGAACCCCTGCTTTCGTCCGATCATCCTGGGATCTTGCATGTGACCGTGCACGTGCCATCTGTCAGGCGTCACATGCTTCGGTCCGGACCTCCCTGCCAAGCACGTCCACATGACACTCCGGCCCGGTGATAGGCTGGCTACCAGACGCGCTCTGCACCAGCTCTGTAAGGGCGTATTTTTGCGCTTTTACAGAGTTTACTCTTGAACCACTCGGTGTATCGTGTCGCGGTTGACAGTGTTGCGCTCAGTAGGACTTATGGGTCTGCTGCCCAGTCGACGACTGTGGGTAGTGTCGACGATAGCAAGGCAGTCAGACCACTACTGTGGAACTGGTCTTATGAGTCTACACCAGGCTCAGGGCCATTAGTGACGAACGCTTGGACCGCGACCATTCCCCACAAAGGGATCTGTCGTTGCGTCGACTTCTCAAAAAGGGTCATTCTCTGCAGATGGGAACTTGGGCTGAAGGGCTGAGCAATGCGCGACGTTCTCAATAATAGAACTACTACTGGACAGGACTTGGCGTTACGAGACTTAAACCATCTTGTCGCGGCAACTCCCGGTTTTGAGTTGGACGTTTCCTCAGATCATGCCACGACGACGACTTGTCACATGTCAGGATCCATTCGATCACGGGACATTATGGACGCGTCGCGGTGACACTTCCAAGTGTCACGGCGAGTCGCGCCCATACCCAAACACACTAGAAACCGACACGGTAAGATCCGTGAACCGAACCATGTGGGGGACGACTGGTGTGCCTAGGGCCATACGGCTTCTTGGGGCGCCCACGTTGGTCTCACTTGCCAAGACATACCCGTTGGCCAATCCAGCACGTTGTATTCCAAAGTATGACGCGGTGGGTTGACCCACATCAAAAGTATCATATGGACAATGGGGCGGGGTCCTGATCACTCAGGACCTGTCCGATCGTTCAACTTTTCAATTACCCTAAAAGGCAACCGATCTTAG